AGTTTCCTGAAGGATCTCATGTAAGCACATAATACCAATCAGAATATTTCTACCTTTGAGAAAGACAGTTTGAGCATTGTTAATCAACTTATTAGCATAAGGCACAACTCTAATGGCAAGAACTTTAGTAATCAGTTTATATAGGCAGTTGAGTAAGCAAATAGGTCTGTATTGTTGAATCTTGTTTGCTTCTTTAATCTTTAGCAGAAGGGTAATGATCCCATAATTTAGCCTGCTGACATCAGCTTTGTTGCTATGAAATTCATCAAATAGTTGGACAATATCAGATTTGACAATGCTCCAACACATTTCTGAAAGAACTCAATAGATATCTTGTCAGGGCCAGGGGATTTATTATTCTCCATCTGGAATAAGGCAACACTAATTTCTGTCTTAGAAAAAGGCTGGCAAAGGATTTCATTATCTGATTCAGATAATTTGTAACAATTATTCCAGATTAAAGGGTCCAAATGAATATCGTGCTGAGGTACGGGACCAAATAGCTCAGAATAGTATTCAGAGGCATGTCTTAATAAATTGTCATCTCCTTCAATGCATATTCCTTCACTCTCAAGAGTTATAATGGTATTCTTCCTCTTTCTACCATTTGCACATTTATGGAAATACTCAATGTTGGTGTCTCCTTTAAGAAGCCATGACTCATGACTTCTTTGGAGAAAATACAATTCTTCCTGTTCCAAGGTTTTCACACAAAATCCAGTGTTTTCTAAAGATCTGCTTACTTGTTAGGTTCATGCTCTCTTCCAGCTCTTCTAAAGCAGCTAGCTCAATGTGAAGCTCCTTCCTGAGTTTTCTAGTTCCCCTTGTTTGTTGTGTCCCCATCCCTTAAAGAATTGTTTGAGTAGTTTCAACTTCTGTTGAATTCTATCCAAGGCAGATCTGGCTTTAGGGCATGTTTGATAGAGCTCCATCTGATTCTGATTCTCTAAGAAAGCTAATTCTCTGAGAGAAGTGATTATGTGACTGAAAGTGATTCTCTTTGATTCTTTAGCAGAAACTCTTGAAATTAAGATGGAGAATCACTTCACAGAATTGGGAGAAGCTACTTTTTCAGCTCTCAGCCTCCTAGTCCTTTTCAGAGAATCACTTCACGGAATCAACAGAGAATCACTTCTCTCTGAAAAATTGTTTGGCGGAGTTTTTGCTGGATTCAGCAGAGAATCAGCTCTGGGAGCTCTGTCAAACGGGGCCTTACATGGTTTACTCCAGATCTTCTCAACCAGTGTATAAAAATCAGGATTGTTGAGCCAGCCTAAATTAAATTTGAATTGAATGTTGGTCCTGTTTCTAGGAACCCCAATAGAGATGACCAAAGGGTTGTGATCAGAGATTTTCCTAGGCAGTTTCCTAACCAGAGCAACACTACCGGAAGCCTCAAATTTGCCAAGTGTTTTTATGTTTGCCGAGTGCATTTCCTCGGGCACTCGGCAAATAAATTCTTTACCGGGTGCTATCCTAAAAACACTCGGCAAAAAAAACACTCGGCAAAGAGGGGGTTTGCCGAGTGTCAAACAAAAAACACTCGGCAAATAGGGGGTTTACCGAGTGTAAAAAAAACACTCGGCAAAAAGAGAGGTTTGCCAAGTGTCCAAAAACAACACTCGGCAAAGCAAAAAAAATGAAGAAAAACCCCACCCGGCCCTCCCCTCACTCACTCACGCACACACCCACACCCCCTCCCCTCCCTCCCAGCTCACTCGCTCCCATCCTCTTCCACGTGCGGCCGGCGCCTCCCCTCCTCCCGCTGGCGGCCGGCCCCCTCCCCCCCCATGAAGTGGCCAGCCCTCCCTCCTCTCTTTGGATCCGCCGCCCCCCTCCCCTCCCTCACCGCAGCCCCTCCTCGGATCTGCCGCCCGCCCCTCCCCTCCCACCGGCGGCACCTTCCCCGGATCCGCCGCCCGCCCCTCCCCTCCCACATCGACGGCGCCCTCCTCGGATCTGCCGCCCGCCCCTCCCTCCCCACCGGCCAGGTCAAGGCGTCGTGGAGTAGTGGCGATGCGGAATAGCGAGCTAGGTTGCGGTGGTACGGAGCAGCGACGCGGAGTTGCGGTGGCATTGAGCTGCGATGACGCGGCAACCCGGGGCAGGTGGCGCGAAGTAGAGGTGGCGCAGGGCTATGGCGGCGCGGAGAAGCGGTGACGCTGTGGCGTGGGGCTGCAAATCAGGCGGCACGCGGTGCTACTGGTTCAGCAAGAGGTCCAGCAATGAGATTGATGACATCAGCGTAAGTGCCCACCCATCCGCTTCCCTCCTCATCCATCTACCGTGTGTGTGCCTCTTAGGAACTCTATTCTTTACCTGCAATGCTCAAATTACTCGAGGAACCGATGTTCTAGATCCAAGGTCTTGGTAGGTTCTGGATCTCGAGTCTTGGTTGATGAAGATCCTTGTTCTTGCAAAATATCAATAGGCTATACATAGAGTAACAGACGGTGAGGCTTCAGTTTAATAGAGATCATAGGGGATAGAGAAGCTAGACATTCTAACTACATTGTAACAACCTTGCTTGTAAGCTCTACCTGAAGGTCAAATGAATGTGACAGGAGGTAGTAGTATGTTCACAGTATTTTGTCAGACTCCTCCTACAAAATAATTATGTAGTTACTAACAATATTCTCTATTGATTTCTGAAAATGCAGAACTACTTGTTCAGTTGTTCTGTTTCATCACTTGTGTGTAGTAGTGAGGACAGAAAGAAAGAGTAGATCAGTAGATAGTTTACCATAGAAGAGAATGGAGTGCTTTGTTCAAATGTTGTCTTACTTGCTTATTGATATTTGTAATGTTTCTAAGCTGAAAACGAGCCAGATTTGTCTAGTCTTACAGTAGCTAAAGAAAATAAATAGCCTGTAGCATATCTTCATGTCACCTAAATAGATTTATGTTCAGTTGGTGTATGAACCTATTGACAATTGTACTTACATGCTCATATGTGCTTGGAGGAAGCAGGCATGGCTTGGGCAGCAGCATGACATGGAAACCCTATCAAAGAAAATCAAGAACAGGTTTGTTCCCTTTCTATTGATTTCTGTGTTATATTCGATCGATCTGGGCCTGTGTTAAGAGCCACATGTTGTTCTGCTATATCTTTAATTCTTTGTTCATATCTTGACTTTGTAGCATTGCAAGGAGTGCTGATTTACTTTGCTATCTGTTTAATTCTTTTTTCTGCTATCTGTTTATTTCTTAGCATATTTACTTTGTACATTCTTTCAGAACAAACCATTTGTAGAATGGCACGTTATTTTATTCATGATAATTTCTACTCTCTAGAAAGAAGGAAGCGACATTGCATAGGAAGGTCCAAGATGCAGCCTACAGAGTCGAAATGTATGTACTGCCTCCATGATATTTTACCTCTGCAGTTCAGAGCAACTGAAGCCATCAGCTAGACCACTGTTGGGCAGCATAAGCAGCAATTTGGCACTGCAGAGCTTAGCTCTGTTTACTGCAGGTTTGAGCAGCAGCATTTTTATCTCATGATGCAGGGCAGTGTTGATTCACATAGGTGAAATGTCATGTTCAAGCTACAAGGTGAAACGGTGAATTAATTCTCATGTAATCATTAGCTAATGATCAGTTCCTTGCTTGGGTGATTATTCAAGCTTTATCTCTGGTCTGTAGCATTTATGTGCTGTTTTTCCTTTGCCAATTGACAGTAGTAGTTGCTCCTGACCACATTGATTTGTATTTTGTTCTGCGGCTTGTTAGTTCTAGAAGCAGGTTGCAGTAGGGAGATCAGTTCCTTGCTGTATGTATTTTTCAGACTGAAAAGCTATAGGGTCACTATCAACTCTACCTTTCTAGATGTAGATGGGTTATTTGTTGGTTCAGTGGTTTACTTGTTGGTTCTAGGTTAGTTAGGTACCTCTGCATTTATCTTTCTGCCAGCTCTGAGACTAGTATGTTTTCCCAGGACACTCGGCGAGTGTAATTAAACTCATGGCTGCAGCTATTAAACTGAAATATGCTGAGAAAAAAATTATTTTTTTCTTTGGAAAATAGGTTTGCCGAGTGTAATTCTCAAAAACACTCGGCAAACAATAATGGTATGCTGAGAAAAAAAAATCTTTGGAAAAAAGCTTTGCCGAGTGCAATTCTCAAAACACTCGGCAAACAATAATCCTTTGCCGAGTGTATTTTGGAAAAACACTCGGCAAACCACTTTTTTTGTCGAGTGTCAAATTTGACACTCGGCAAATAGCTGTTTGCCGACACTGTAGATGTCGTGTGCTGTTTGCCGAGTGTTACACTCGGCAAAGCCTTTGCCGAGTGTTGTTTGGTCTTTGCCGAGTGCCTGTGGCACACGGCAAAGTCACTGTTTCCGGTAGTGCAAGAGGGATCTTGATTATTAGACCAGGTAAATAAACCACCAGTCATGACTAATTCCCTCAACTCAAAGAAATGAATAATGCTACCAAACATAACGCTAATGAACATTTAAAAGCATCTCAGCTTTGCAACATGCCAACAGCGGCAGATTCAGCTTGGCCAACTATATCTTAGTAATGTTTAGTCCATCCTCCGCTGGCAATGGCGATTTTCCACAAGCCCAATCTGGAAAGTAACAAGCACATATACAAGTTAAAAGCCATTTATATATACTAATTAACATTACAAATGAGTTAATGCATGTCTTATCATCGATCAGTGCAATTCAAAAAATAAACAAGGTTGGGATTTATTTATAGTAGTCACAAAATATTAGCAACATAAAATTAAAGTGTTGGCCATGAAAAGGTTAGTGGAACCTTATAAATCAATAATTACATTTGACATTGCATTGTCATATATTCAATTTGTCAAGCATGTGTGTTCATTCAACTAAAATCTACAGATTACTATCTATCGAAGGTCAGAACATAGATATATAGCCATATAGACCTATAGGTCATATATACGGAAAAGTTCAGAACATAGAGGCCATATATTCACAGGAAGGATGACTACAAACAAGAAAGGGGCTTTACTATATACACCTATGTACCATGCATACCCGGAGAGTAGAACGTCATGAAGGGTACGACGGGATTGTCGATCCAAGTGTCACATATCTTCCTTGCGCGCTCTGACTTGAGATCGATAACGAAGGTGCCAGCATTTGTGCCCACGAAGATGGCATTCTTCACACCCTCAGCAAAACCGATCACATTTGCACCATTGATGATACTACTATTGTCGTCATTGCCAGCGCCAGCAGGTGATGATATCATCATCGTCCGTAGATCTATGACCCTGGACTGCTCCCACCCTGCATTATTCGCCGTCCTCGACCACAGGTGAAGTGTAGAACGCCTAGCGCCGGCGAGCCCAAGCAATCCGTCCTCGGTTGTCATGAGCTCGACATCGGTATCCTTGCTATAGAAGCCCGGCGAGTCAATCGCAGACAAGCAGTGCCTGCGCAGGTCATATTTCAGGATCTGGTCACCCAAGAACAACCGGAACAAGTAGACCTGGTCTCCGATGACGACGGCACGGCTCTGGTGGAAATGATCAAAGCCACGGAGGTCCAAGTGAACCGGCGCGCCCCATGCGCGGAGCTGCGACGAGTAGACGCGCGCACGCGTGCGCCACCCGGCCGGCGTACGGTGGAGGACAACGTCAGCGCAGAGCACGAGGAAAGGGCCGCCGCGGCAGCTCGAGTGGTCGCAGGCGTCGGCGGCGGCGGCACACAGCACCACCGCGGAGCCAGGGCAGCTCGTGCCGGTCGCCGGTGATGGGGTCCCAGACGAGGAAGGCGCGGGCGTCGTCCGCCACGTATCGCCGCTGGGGGAGGACGCGGCCGTGGAGGCAGTCGAGGACCAGCCAAGGGCAGTGGTCGATCGCGAGTGCTCCCCCAGCCGCTGCGGCCACCGAGGAGGAGGGGGACCTCGCTCCCGCTGCCGTGGTTGGGATTGGGACGAAGCAAAGCCCGGGGTGGGAGTCGGAGGAGCAGAGGGTGAAGAAGCCGAGCAGCGGAGGGGTTCGGTGGAGGCGCGCGTAGAGGCGGAGGAAGTCGGGGTGCGAGAGGACGCGGCGCCACTGCTTGCACACGAGCGAGGCGCGGACGAGGTGCGCTGGCTCTTCCGGCGGGAGGCGGAGGAGCACGTCTATGATGGTGTCGTCGTCTAGCTCCGACGACGGCCGTGTGCGTGGCGACGCCATGCATGGAACTTGGCTTTTCGGAGGCAAGAACTGGTGGATACGTAGATATACATACTCCGTAGATTGGGGGAACCAAGTCGCGTCGTGTGAAGAGCGAACTTCCACTCGTCGGTTTCCTAATTCCCTACGTTACGCGGAATCTGTCAGTTTGGGCCGGCCAACGCCGACCCAAAGAGACCAGGGCTCGGGGGCCCACCTGCGGGCCACGCAAAAGGTTTTCAATATTTCCTTGCGGCCCGGTCTGGTTCCTACGCACGGCTTGAGTTCGCGAGATGCAAAGGGCAAACAGTAATGCTTTTAATAGGCGCTTGAGTTGGCGAGATGCAAAGTGCAAACACCAATGCTTTGAACACTACCGGAGACCGGCTCTTTGCCGAGTGTCAAGTGGTTTGCCGAGTGTTGTTTTTCGGGCACTCGGCAAAGATGTCTTTGCCGAGTGTTTTTTTTGACACTCGGCAAAGAAGCTCTTTGCTGAGTGTTTTTTTGACACTCGGCAAACAAGCTCTTTGCCGAGTGTTTTTTTACACTCGGCAAAGAAAATTTCAAAGCACATTTTGAAGCAGTAAATTAATTCAAATGAAAAAGTTTTCAACTACAAAGTTGTATAACTCATCAAGATGTACAATGTTTGTTTTGGTCTTTTCTTCATATGAAAAAGTGAAAGTAAATTTGTTCACAAATCTAACATATCTCTCTGGTAGTTTATGAAACTACAAGAGAGATATATAAGATTTATGAACAATGTTAGAACGACCATGTCGGATGAACAGATGACCAAACAACCAAAATAAACTTTATAGATCTCGAAAAGTTATGAAACTTTGTAATTGGCAACTTTTTTATTTGAAATCATCTTGTCATGCAAAACTGTGTTTAAATTTCAAAAATTTAAAATTCGAACTTTTCAAACGACCTCGGATGGAAAAACAACCAAAATAAACTTTGTAGATCTCGAAAAGTTATGAAACATTGTAGTTGGCAACTTTTTGATTTGAAATCATTTTGTCATGCAAAACTGTGTTTGAATTTCAAAATTTTAAAATTCAAACTTTTCAAACGACCTCGGATGGAAAAACAACCAAAATAAACTTTGTAGATCTCGAAAAGTTATGAAACATTGTAGTTGGTAACTTTTTGATTTGAAATCATCTTGTCATGCAAAACTGCATTTGAATTTCAAAATTTTAAAATTCAAATTTTGTAAACGACCTCGGATGGAAAAACTTCCTAAACTAAAAGTGTAGATCTCAAAAAGTTATGAAACTTTGTAGTTTACAACTTTTTTATTTGAATTCGTTTAGGGCTTCAAACAAGCGATTTACATTCGGTTTAGTATAATATATTAGGAACTAAAACGAAATCCAAACACAAATGAAAGCGTGGTGTAGTGGTAGAGAAGGTTTGCCGGCAGGGGGAGGTCGTGGGTTCGATTCCCTTCGGCCGCGTTGCCGTGATTTGACGTGAAAAATTGTGGAGATGGGCGCGGGCGCTGGCCAGTGGGGGCCTCCTCCAATAAAAAAAAATTTCTATTTTTTTTGGTAAAAATTCCTATTTTTTCGGGTTTTTATCGGTTCCAACTTTGCCGAGTGCCCGATAAAAAACACTCGGCAAAGTTGGCTTTGCCGTCACTTTTTTTGGCGAGTGCTGTTCGCCGAGTGTTACACATTTGCCGAGTGTTTTATGTCTTTTGCCGAGTGTTTCGGGCACTCGGCAAACTCAGGGAGTCCGGTAGTGGAATAGGGCGTCTGTCGGTCCGGACGCTCCTATCGGTGGACCGCGATACAGCCCAACGACTTACTCCTATCTGCTCGTCCACTCTCCCCAACTGATTCTCTAGGTGGCTCTCCAGTCACTGCAGTTTTTTTAAAAAAAAAACTCATCGTAGCGTCGCACCACATTCTCCACGGCGTCCGGGCATCTGATGGCCAGCATCTCCGTCGGCCCGAGCGTGGCCGCCTGTCTTCCTCCCTCTCCATCGCGCCTCCTGCACGCTGCGACCGTCTGTCTTCCTCCCTCTCCACCACGCCTCCCGCCCGCCGCGGCCTTCTCCAGTGCGCGGACCGCCTTCTCCACCGGAGCGACCCGCCGCGGCCTTCTCTACTGGAGCGGCGAGCTCCGCACCACCATCGAGCTCTACATTGATGAACTCCACATGCTGATGAGCCCCCATTCTCCCAAGCAAGGAGATGTTGCGCTGAAAGTGCATGTTGCAAACGTATGTTTTAAGTGTTTCAAATGTTTGAAAGGTATGTTGCAAGTGTTTGATTTTGGATGTTGCAAAAGTAGATCCGGATGTTGCATATGTTGCAAGTGTTTTCAGAGGTATGTTGCAACCATTTGTTCAAAATGTTTTATCTATTTTAAACATATGTTGCAAACGCTTGATATGAACGTTGCATATGTTTCACACATATGGTGCAAGAGTATGTTCCAAATATTTCAGCGGTTTCTGTCGTATGTTATATTAAGTGTTTTCATGTTGCAAGTGTTTCGTTTCATGTTTCAAGCGTACACTGTTGGATGGAAGAGCATCTCCAAGAGTTCCCTAAACATCCTCCTAATCCTTGTTTTTTAGAAAGATGGGGAAAAAACCCTCTTCAACAACTCCTAATATTTACTCCTAATCTTTTAGGACTTGGGAAATTCCTCCTCCTTCCACATAACTTTACGCGGACGAAGCCACGCTCGGAGACGCTCGGAGCCTGATGGAAGTCGTACGGCGCGCCGAACAGCGTCTCGCTGTTGCGGTACCCCGCCTGCTGCAGCGCCTCGACGAGCCTCCTCATGCACAGGTTCCTGTGTATGGCCGGGCCATATAGGTACAGGTCTGGCAGGTCAGCACGTGCGTGTTCGCGACTGTATGTAGGGTAGGCCGGCGACGGCGGCCGGGCTCAGTGCTTACTTGTTGGCTTCGGTGTCGGCGAGGAAACCGGCGGTGGAGTCGCGCGACGGCGGGGTCATCCATGGCCGTGGCGTTCCTCCATAGCTGGAACCACCGGCCGCGCTCATTGCTACTGCCCGCGCCACATTGTGGCGACTCCGGGGGCGGCTCGTACGCGTCCGTGAGGCGCGCCTCGAGCTGGCTGTAGGTGTTTCCCGGCACCAGCATGACAGGGTACACGGCGGCACTGGGACTGGGAGGCGGTGGCGGCGGCGTGCCGCAGCGGAGCAGTAGGAGCAAAGGGAGGAAGAGCAGCAGCAGGCTGCGGCCGCGTGGATACGCTTGGCGACGAAGAGGTTCGCGTGGAAAAAAAAGAAGATTGCAAAAAAAAAAGTTAAATGGCACTAACATTTGATTTTTTTGAAGTCAAATATTAGGAACTATTAGAGATAAACTTCTTTTTTTTCTCTAAAACATTTTTAGGAGTTAGTAAACATAAATTTTTTAGGAGGAATATTTAGGGAACTCTTGAACATGCTCTAACATGAGTCAGCGGCGCGCATCCGTAGGCGGCCGTGCGAGCGCATGGAGTAGGTGCGGGAAGCGGCCGAGTGCAGGTGCAGGGGAAGGCTGAGGGCGCGATACAGAGCGGGCGCTGGCGGTCTCCGCGTGCATGCGCGCAAGAAGCAGACGGGGGCACAGGCCATCCCCGTGTGCATGCAGGCACGTGATGCAGAGCGGGCTCGGGTGGCCCCGTGTATGCGTGGGAGTGGGCGAGCGGACGGAGGCGCGCGTTACGGAGGAGGCGTGGGTTTCCAGAAGTGTGCGTCCATGCGAATGTCCTCTGAAGTGCAAACCGTTTGAATTTTTCCATTCACATACATGCACGCAAGCATGTACGGAACGGCAGGAATGCCTGGAGATCGGCACAGCGAAGCCCTTGTTTAGTTCCACCCATCCCAACTTCTAAAAAGTTGCTACAGTACCTGTCACATCGAATATTTGCGGCCCATGCATGAATCATTAAATATAGACGAAAAAAAAACTAATTGCACAGTTTGGTGAGAAATTACGAGACGAACGTTTTGAGCCTAATTAGTTCATGTTTAAACACTATTTACCAAATAAAAACGAACATGCCCAAGCCTTCCTGTGCCGGCTTGTTCCGCTCGTCCCGGCTGGAATCTTCCGTTTCTTGGTTTCGGTACCGCCTTGCCACAGCATCTCTTGCAACGTGTACTCCAGACGGTCGTCCTGTACTCCTGCAGTCATTCGCCTAAAGGTTAAAGAACTCAGGTTGAAATGAATTGGCCAAAAGAGGCTCGTGTCATGTGTAATTATGGGATAGATGACTAGATAGGAGATTTGATGCAGCTCCTTCGTCTCATAAAATACTACCGTACCTTTTAGGTATACGAGATTAAATAGATATCTGATGAAGATGCTCTACGGTGGTAGATGTTTAATAGAGACGTATGTAGTTATTGCAATTGCATCAATCTCGACACCCAACTCCTCTTAGGCCTTGTTTTGATGTATATATATTCACCTTAATCCACATGTGTTGGAGTGGTATGAAATAGAATTTAGTTTAATTCCACTCCAATTCACTTGAACACATATGGATTGAGATAAATACATACGTATTCAAACAAGGCCTTGAAGTTATTTGTGAGCGTCTACATCTAGTACTGTATTATATTGTTACCCTAGACGGAAGGAGCCACACGCGGGGACGTGGATGGAAATAAATAAAAGCGCGGCTATCTCGCAATGCAAAGTAGTGCTAGCCGTTGAAGCAGATTTTTTTTTTGGTCTTGTTCTAAGAATCTGTCCCGAACCATTTTCTATGACCGCGGCCGATGGAGATACTAGCTAGTACGTACTTCAGGAACGAAGAGGACACTATTGACTTGGCCATTTTGTTTTCCTTTCGTGATGATGGCCGGATTAAGATCAGACGTGATGACCAAATCAGCTATAGATTATTAACTAATCCCCTGATGCCGATGTTCGATGATGCATAATGCTAGTTTCAATGCAGCTCTGATGCGTGTCAGACTGTCAGTTGTGCGCCCAGCACCCACATTTGTGCGTGCGTGTCTTCTGATTACAAAAC